AGATATCCTGCCTGCAGGTACCAAGTGTCCTCCATGAAGGGGTTCATTGTTGTCACTTGTGATGATATGGGGCCAGTTAGTCTCCAGAAATATGTTGAATAAGTTGAGACCAGTGTCTGAGATCCTTTCTTTCCTCTCTCAGGGGTACTCGCTCTCCCTGAGGCACACCTGAACTGTGGACCTAGGGTAATGCCTTGAGCGAACTGGGTAGCCACTGGTAATTCGTTTATCCTTCCAATATTGCTGAGCTGGAATCTTTTTATTCTGCTTTAATAAAAAAAAAAAACCTCTACTGAATTAAATCATAAACTCTGCATGTGTTTTAATTTCTTGTCCCTTTTCCTTGGGTCATTTGTTGAGACCCAAAAGTGAATCAGAGGCAGAACTGGGATTAGGGTAAAGGGAGCAAGGCACTCACTTCAGGTTCAAAATTTAAGGGGCACCCAAAATTCCAGTAATCTAGATACATAAATTTTTAAAAAATCAAAATTAATGCAAAAATCTCTGATGAATAAAATATCTAAGTTTTTTTTTTAAGATTTTATTTATTTATTAGAGAGAGAATGAGAGATAAAGAGCACGAGAGGGAAGAGGGTCAGGGGGAGAAGCAGACTCCCTGCTGAGCAGGGAGCCCGATGTGGGACTCGATCCCGGGACTACCAGGATCATGACCTGAGCCGAAGGCTGTCGCTGAACCAACTGAGCCACCCAGGTGCCCAATAAAATATCTAAGTTTTAAGTCAAGACCTAAACAACCCAGTCTGACAGGGTTGGATTTAGGGTATCGGTGCATTGTGCCAGTACAGGGTCAGATCCTATTCTATGACATTTTGATATTTCTTGATCAGAGATTATTTTGCATTAAATTAAGATTTTTAACTATTGCATTAAAATATTTATCTTGATTACTGAGCTTTTTGGCACCCCCCTTAAATTTTGTACCGGGAATAAGTGTGTCCTCTCATCCCGCTGTACTCCCAGACTTGATCCTAGGTGTCGAGGCACTTGGAGTAGTCGATTAGGGTCTTCTCTAAAGATGGCACATATAATTCCAACTGCATCTGTTCCCGTTCAGCAGCTGCCTCTGTGCCTTGAAAGAAAGGAAAAGGGAGATCGGAAGGATTGCCTGACTGGTCAGAAACCATGTCCCTTAAAGACCATGGAGAGAAATGAATCAGGATTTCTAGGGCGGGATTGATACTCTCAGAGCTCATTGTCCCTGCGCTTGCATCCCTGGAAGGAACAGAGAACTTGCATCCAGACTCCTAACTCCTTTCCCCTTTTAGATCTTACAGCTGAGCTGGTTGTTTAGCTCTCCCACATCCAGCTGTGGGCAGGACGTCTTTAGAGTTAGAAGGCGAGGGGGGAGAACGAAAAGAAGGAGAGGCTCCTCATTCCGCCGATTTAAGTCTGTTCTTCTCTGAGCACTAGTCCCCACATCTGGGAAGTGAGGGGCTTGGACTAGCTAGTCTTTGAGGTTTCCAGGCCTGTTACTCCACAATTCCATTTCTCCTTGTTGGAGGGGAAGGTTAGTACAGGCGAGGTTTGAGAAATAAGAGGTAATTGGCAGCTGAGCGCCAGATTATGGGGTCACTAATTCTGAGCTATGACATTTCCATCCTGTGAGGGCCAGAAACACAGTGAGCTAGCACGGGCACAGGCAATGCACAAGCTTTAGAGGGCCCTTTCTGTTCTTATCTTTTCAGTTGAGAGACTTCAACTATTGCATTATTTATTTGGACTTAGTTCAAGGTCAGATAAAAAAAGGAGGTACACCTATGCTAGTTGTTAACTCTGTCTTTTGCAAGCATCAAATTCTAACTGACTGATTCAATTCACAGAGGGAGGACACTTAACAATTGTGAGTAAAGTACACTTTGCAGCCTTGTAAGTAGGCAAGGCTTGCTCATGACCCATTTCTCCAGGGGAGTCCCACTTCACTGTTATCTTCGTGGACATTTGGATGTCACCCAGAAAGCAGAGCCCTCAGATGCTGAGCAGGATCAAGTGGTCCCTAGCATATCACCTGTAGCCCCATCATTTCTTGGGCAAAATTTTAAAGTAGCTGAAATGTGTCTTTAAGGTCCCTGTTTCTATGTTCTGAATTCTGATTCCTTTTCCTGCCCCTCCTCTAGGCTTTACTGGCTCTTTTTTCCTTCCCACTGCTTCTGCTTTTTCTTCCCTCTTTCTAAGTAGAAACAAAAGTCTTGCAGATAAATGCATTCACACTAAGATGTGAGTAACTGAGACTCTCCAGTGGAATCTATTCTGGGAATAGGTTCATTCAATAGGGATCAAGAGCCAATGCAAATGAATTGCGGTGTATTAGACATTTGTAGTTCGAGAGGGTATTTTTTTTTAAATGGGCACCTAGCAGTCCAAATCAAATTCAGATAGTTGTGAATTCTGTGCACTTGAAAAAAGATGTTTCAGAAAAATAGTTTCAGTGCAGAATCTCTGCACTGTTCTTCCTCTTCATTCTTCTCCGCATTGTCTTTCTGTTTTTCTAGTTCACCTCACTACTGATGTTGACAGTAGAGGATATTTAGGAAAAAATCTAAATCCTTTTCCCCTACTCCCTTCAACTTGCAGCAAGTCTATGCTCAAGCCACACACGTGAATACATCCACTTAATTCCTAACCATCTATCAATAATCAATCAACCCAATTATTTTTTTAATAATTTGTTATTATTATGTTAATCACCATACATTACATCATTAGTTCTTGATGCAGTGTTCCATGATTCATTGTTTGTGCATAACACCCAGTGCTCCACGCAGAACGTGCCTTCTTTAATACCCGTCACCAGGCTAACCCATCCCCCCACCCCCTCCCTTCTAGAACCCTCGGTTTGTTTTTCAGAGGCCATCGTCTCTCATGGTTCATCTCCCCCTCCAACTTACTCCCCTTCAACCCAATTATTAAGGCTTATATATTCTTAGTCCTGGGTCTTTGCTCTATTTTCACACACAGAACATTTTTAAATTAAATATAATAAAAAAAATACAAGTCCACATGTGTTCATGTCAAATGAGTGTTATAAGAAGTGAATATATAGAATTATCAAATCACTATGTCACACATCTGAAACTAACATAACATTGCCTGTCAATCATACTTAAATAATAATAATAATAAAAGAAATGAGTGATAAGAAGATCAGGGAAGTGAACAATGGATTTGGTGGACTTAAGTAGTGAAAAATGTGTTAAAGAAAGAATATGATCTGAAATGGGCTTTGAAGGATTTCAAGAGGCAGAAATAAAAGTAGGCTTCCAAGAAAGGACCAAACATGGAGAGACAGAACAGGGTGTATTCAGAGAAGGGTGGGTCACGCTGATTTGACTAGAGCAGGTTTGTGTACTAAAATAATGCTAGAGAGGCTTGAGAAGCAGGTGGAGATTAGATCAAGAAGAGCCTTTGACGAAGTGGCCTCAGGGGATTAGATTACCTCCAGCGGGCAATGGGGATACGTCAAGGTTTTTGAAATAGTGTCATTACAAGTGCTGTTTTTAGAAAAGTAGTGTACCCAAGGAATCGGAGGGGCAAGGAGCAGTGGTTAGGAGGTAAGAGTGATAATGTGGGAGATATAAGGGAAAGAGGCTCTTAGCTTAGAGGTGGGAGCGAAAGAAATTCTTTTATTTTTTTTAAATGTTTTATTTATTTATTCATGAGAGTCAGAGAGAGAGAGGGAGAGGCAGAGGGAGAAGCAGGCTTCCTGCGGAGTAGGGAGCCCGATGCAGGACTCGATCCCAGGACCCTGGGATCGCGACCTGAGCCAAAGGCAGACGCTTAACCATCTGAGCCACCCAGGCACCCTGAAAGGAATTCTTTCTAAAGCAAGGGAAAGAATTATCACCCTAAATAACCATTCTTTCTGAGATTTTCATTATGAATTTCCCAGCATTGATCTCAAGTAAAGGGTTTTCTACACTAGTCAAGCCATGTTATGTTGTTAACAAATGTTGAGAAACAAGCATATATGCTCTTCGGTGTTTGATTCTGTACAGAATAAAAAGAAGCCTAAACTAAGTTCCAGCCTCAAGGAATTTTCACACTTAAAAAAAAAGGGAGAAAAGAATTATGTATACTAGCCAACTTGAAAAACAAAAAAAAGAACATATAAAATGTAGTGCGATGTAATCTGTGCTGTAGGGTTTCAAAAAAGCTAAAAACAAATCAGTTTGGGTTAAAGTATAAACAGGGAAGATTCCACAGAAGAAGAAACAGTGATGCTGCCCACGTCACAGAGATTCTGGCAGCCAAAAGCACACTTTATGAACTTCTCCGAGCATCCTCGACTCCACGTTGTCCTCTCCTTCTGTCTCATGCAAGGCTACCTACCCCTTTCTTGCCCCTCCTTCCCTCAGCTAGACCAATAACAGAAACTTCCAGGAAACAAATACAGTTTCACTTCTTGCCCCATAACAAGCTGGATTCTTTCTCAGCAGGATCTACTTGTCAAAAGAACTGGTAAAGAGAAATTCCATGACTGAGAATGGGTGGGAAAAGAAATGAGAGATGCTTTTAAATGGCTGCCATGTGCCCGGTACTGCGTGAGGCTGTAGGAGACCCGGCAGCAGCAAAGAATGTGTTGGGTGAGATTATTATGACCACGATGTGGATTACAGACCCTTCCAGTGAGATTATGGACAAGGGGAAAAGGGAGAGAGATGACTACTTGGTTTGGGGCACTTTAAACACATTCCCTTATATAAGTCTCACCTTTCCTTTTTTCACATGGGGGAAACTGAGGTTGAAGGAGTAAATTGTTTATGAGAGGGTAGGCAGGGATTTGAAGCTGGGTCTACAGATTCCACAGCTGATTATCTTTTCATGCCATCATCCTTCCATTGAAGGAGCCCAAGTTTACATGTCGGAGTCAATCCTGGACTAACTGCCATAAGGAAAAGAGAGCGATCTCATTAATATTCTCTTTATTTTCATCTTTTACTTTTTTTTATTTCTACTGCAGAAGAGATTACCCTAGATCTGAGATGGAGACCTTCTCTCTGCTGCTACTCAGCCTGGGTTTGGTTCTTGCAGGAGCTTCAGAAAGCATAATGGAGATAATTAAAGAAGAATTTTCAGGGGGAGAGATGCCATATGACATGGCAAACAGTGACCAAGAAAGACAAACTATTGAGGTACTAATGAACTTGACTGTGTTATATAAAAATACCAGCCTCAGTATGTCCAAGGATATTCTGTCTTCCTCATTACTGACATTCAGAAGATTACATTATAGCTTCGCCAAAGGAAACAGTTCAGGTAATGACAAAGAGTATTGCAATGACATAGTGGTCTGGAGAAAAGTTTCAGAAGCTAATGGGTCACGCAAATTAAGCTATAACTTCATCTGTGGTTCCAAGGAAGTGATTCATGGTGCCCCCGAAGCCTCCAGCTGCAAGCGTGGACAGAATCTTGGCATAAGCTGCTCTAGGAGCCCAGCCCTGGAGACCACTATGTGCCAGCTCACTACGGGCAAATACCACAGTGATACTTCATTGAAGAAAATATTGGCAGTGCTGACAGGTCATTCTCTGATGAGCTGGTTAGTTAGTGGCTCTAAGTTGTAAATCCCACGGGGCTTTGAGACCAGAGTCTGTCTAAAGAAAGACATACTTATTCTCATTCTTGTTTATGTCCTTCTATTATCTCTATCTACACTTTCAGCACTATAGTAAACTCTTGATTATCTATACTAACTGGAGGAATAAAAAAAAATCCCAAATTATGGAGAATTCAATTAAAATTTATAATTAATCCTGGAGTACAGATACTCTCTCTCTCTCATACACACACCCACACACACACACACTTTCTCTGAACTAAACTGAATTCCATCCTAGCTCAGCTATAAAGCCAAGAGGTAGAGTCCACCCAACTTGACAAAATTAAGGAGGAAAGGCCCAAAACCAATATTGATAATTGAAAGTTAATTGTACTGCCACTGAGACTATTCAGAGAAATAGTGAATGAGCATCGGGGATCTTATCACTGTTTCTTTTCAAATTAAGTGTGTGCATTGATGCACACAAAATGTGAGCACCCACCCATGTAACCAGGTATCTGCCTGTCCTCCAGAAGATGCCAGAGGAAAAAGATGCTTTTTGCTTAGCTGCTGCCCTCAGTCAGCAGCTCCGGCCCTATGCAATCTCCATTCCTCCATCTGCTATATCCCAGATTGCTACAGATGGAGTAATAAAGCTCTTACTGCCATTTTTACTCAACCTAGTCTTGATTTCCTGAGGGATGGCAAGCCACAGAAGAATGGAACAGGTAGAAAGATGGCAAATGGGACATCTATGCCAAGTGCTGAGCAGGCTTAGTCTTCAATCTTGTTTATGATGTTGTATTGGATTTTTTTCACTACCAATTGTTTATTTATAAGTTTTTATGGTTCAACACTCTACACAAAGTATGGGCAATGATCTCATTCATTAAAGTGTGCCTACATTTTCCTGCTCCCTCATCTTACATCCTCCCTCCATCCTGAGACCACTCGTTTTTAATGTCCTGACTTCAAATAAAGGCATGTAAACAAATGTTACATCACTGTAACACTTTTCTTACTGTGCATCACTCTTTAGACATCAATTTTCCTAATGTTGTTCACATTTGGTACAGAATCCTCATTGTATTAAAACTTCAAAACCCTGACAATCAACCGTTATGTGGCATTAAGGGCAGATACATTTGTATCTTTTAGCTGGGTTTTCCTTGTCAGTATGGTGGCTGCTTAAATTAACAGTCACTATGGGCTTGGCCAAATAGGTGTGTAGTTAGCACTCCATTTTCTCTTGGCAGCCAGAAGAGAAGGTAATAGAGGGAATTGCCTGGGGCCCAAAGTTTTCTTCTCTGTAAGGGGAGAACCTGGGGCCCTGGGACAGAGATACAGTCACTGGGTTCCATTCTAGGGATAGTTCTATGTAGTAAGACTGGAGCTACCACCCACTCACCAAACATGGAATAGGCTCTGTCATTAGCAGAGCAGTTCAGTGGGTCTCCTCTGGATTCAAACTTGGTTCAAATTTGAGTAACTTTTTTCCTACAGTAGAGTCCTACTATAGAGTCCAACTCTGGGTGATGGGCATGTTGGCCCCAGAGACAATTACTATTCAAACTCTGGCAGAGTTTTTTGGTAATATGTAAGAAAAAGCAAATCCAGCCTCATTCAGAATTTAGTACAGATTTCTTCCTTCACCAGGACAGAAGAGCAAAAACCCAAAATAGATACCTCTTTCTAGGTCAGGAACATCCTCTAAAGAGTCTTAATTAATACCAAACCTTTCCACTTCTCTAAAGGAATCAGGAGCTCCCAGGATCTATTGAATCATCATACTATGAAGTCTGAAAGATGTCGAATATGGGGGTGCCATCGAGAGTCAGGGCTCCTGAGTACTAGCATTTCCCACCCTCGAAGCCTGTCACCTCTTTGACATAATGTGAATCCTAAGGTCCTTCATGATGACAATAGGCAAGGGATTTCAGATTTTAACGCATTAAGTCTTCATAACGTCCCTTCTCTGCTCCCAAACCATAGGGGGCTAGAGGGCTTTTTTTTTTACTTGTAGCTTTATACCTAAATTTCTCAGGCTGGCTTTCAAGGCCGTTCATGCCCCATTCTCCTCTTACCTAGCCTGACCCCAGCACTGCCCAGGCTCTGTTGCTTTGAGGCTGCTGTCTTCACAGCCCACAGAACTTGCATCCTTCTCTTCACTCTGTTGGTGGGCTGGCCCCAACAGACTAAGAAGTCTTCCCTTTCCCATTCTATCACCTCACTCTGCTCGATCACACAAGCCCCCTGACTAGGAAAGGCCCAACAAGTGTCTCTTGCACTTGCTAGAAAGTTACCTGAGAGTAGATATGTGTCATCTCCCTGTAGTGGCAAAGAAACATTAAAGAGGATGAAATGAGGGGATAAAGGAGACAGATCTAATCATGAGGCCCATGGGCGTGAGAGTCAATAAAGAGAGGACATTGGGAATGTAGTGAGAGAGAGGTTTGAGAAATGGATACCAAGGGCATTATTAGCATAAGAGAAGTGCCCTTCTTGCTTCTAACCATCCCCTCTGCTTTTCCAACATAAAAGTGCACTAAATTCCCTTTAACCAACAATTTTAAGGCAAAACAAATCCCTGGCTCCAAGGGCCCAAGATGGTGCTAAAGTAAGGAGAGCCTTCGTGACATCACAGGTAAGTTCTCATATGCTTTACTGACTCATCATGCTCCCCCAGCCCCCGAGTCATTCCACATGACTAGGATTCAATTTCCTTATCTACACAATGTGGAGGTCGGATTCGATCTGGGTTCTTAGACTTGGGTATACATCAGAATCATTTCAGGTTGCCCACCCCCAAACACCCTCCTTGGTCTCAAGTTGAAGGGGTCCAGTGAGGCACGGGGCTTCCCAGCGAGACGTCTTTTCCCAGGCTCTCTGAGCTGACGTGATGCGTGCCACTTCGGCATCCCGCTCTTGTGACATTGGACTGGCCTCCTCTGTGATTTTTTTCTTCTTCCCAACAGCTAGATCCCAAAATGGACATGGGTGTGACTCAACTGTAATCACTCAGATGATAATAGTGTTCTAGGAATGGGCTGAACAGTGAAAGGGAAGGAAGGTCTGTGCCTGATTACCTGTGCAAGGCAGTTATCTTGCCAATCTGGACTGCTTAATTTGGGGCTATTATATGAGAGAGAAATAAACATGTACATTTTTAAATGCACTGTATTTTGAGATTTTGTTCTGTTAGCTGAGCTCTACCCTAAAAATTTACTCGCTTTAGGAGCTATTATTTAATACAAATCCCTGGGTCCCAGTGCAAGAGATTTGGGTTCGATAGCTCAGAGATTGGACTATAGCGTGTGGGATTTTTCAAGTGTGAGGTTTGCTGATGTGGTTCGAAGTTTGAACCCCACTAGATTAGATGAACTTTCTTTCTCGTTATAGAACATTCTAATTCTACTCCCAGGGAGAGAAAAAAATCTTGCTTCCTATGTATTCAGAGCTTTTGAGAACAGCACTAGGGGCAAAACAAGTCAGTTTAACTCAAAGAGCATCCACCTCATACACAGTGTCCCAGAACTTGCAAGGCAGTATTTTGCTGCCCTGAAACTTCCTAGCCATGGGATACACCTGAGAACAAACACATCTACACTCTAACAGCAGCTCATGTTTCAAAAAACACAAGAGTAGCCCACACGTTAGAAGAAGGGTCACACACATGAAACGTATCCTTTTCACTCCAGCAACCAGAGAACTGGCAGGTTGTGGATAAGATGGCTGTTTTAAATCCCTAAACCTTCCTGTTTATTAATATGTTAAACTTTTTCAAGATCACATATGATAATTACCACAGGGATGATTCATAGGTAATAACAATAATTAATAACAATCACTGAGTGCTTATAAAGTGCCAGGCGCTGGTCTAAAATGTATATATTGCTTTTGTATTCTCAGAACAACCTCCACAAGGTAGGTTATTATCATCCCACTTCAGTGAAGAAGAAACTGAAGCACAAAGACTTTAGATAATGTAGGGGCGCCTGGGTAGCTCAGTCGTTAAGCGTCTGCCTTCAGCTCAGGTCATGATCCCAGGGTCCTGGGATTGAGCCCAGCACCAGGCTCCCTGCTTGGCGGGAGGCCTGCTTCTCCTTCTCCCACTCCCCCTGCTTGTGCTCTCTCTCTTGCTGTGTCTCTCTCTGTCAAATAAATGAATGAAAAATCTTAAAAAAAAAAAAGACTTCAGATAATGTACAAAGTCACACACTTTGTACATTATCACACAGTAAGTGGTCCCCCGGGAACAAACAAGGATGGTCTGATTCCATTCCTTCCATTCTGATTCCACTTTTTGCCACTCATCTTTATTTCCTAGGAGAAAGCAAACTTGCCCATAACTATACAGAAAGATAATGGTGGAATGCTCCTGAATAAAAACGCTTCCTCACATGATTGTTTTGAGAATGATCATTACTATCTTCATTATGATTATGATCAGGGCTCTGTGTTAAACACAATTGAAGAAAAGCATTTGCAATGTATATATGGCTGACAAAGGGCTGCTGTCTTTCATATATAAAGAGAGCTGTCTGTTTAATAAGATAAAGATGAATACACCTACAGAAAAATAAGCCAGGAACACAAACAGAAAATTAACAAAAGAAGAAAGAAATAGCCATTAAACATTTGGAGATTTTTCCCCCTTTCTACTAAAGGTAACATAAATAAAAACAATGTGATATCAATTTTTACCTGTCCAATCAGCAGAAATAAGATTTAAAATAATAACATAGTGGTGGTATATATAGGTACAGGAAAGGGGAAATTCTCATGCACTCCTCCTGGGAGAACAAATTAGTACATTTGCTGTCTCTCTGGAAAACAATGTGAACTAAGCCCCATTCTAGTTTTCAGATTCTCTTCACATTTGATTTCTTTACTGATGATGCTCCGCCCTCCTCTCATACATCCTTTAGGTAAGAGACTTAACTTGGTCAATTCTGGCCCTTTTGACTTTGAGTTTAGGCTCTCACTGGGGGCCTGGGTAGGCCCTGGGGCTTGTCCTGCATATGG